GAAGGTCATCCATGCAACAATTGGTCACAAAGCTATTTATTCATCACTGTTGTAACAGCAAACAGTCACTAAATGAGGCAGTCACTAAACAAGGACTACCTGTATTGTGGAAGAAGGATACATTGCCCAACCCATCTCCCCAGAATGATTTCTTCTTCCAAGGAGATGTGGAATGGTTTTGCAAGAGCTCTGAAGTCTTCTCTGGAGTGAAGGATTTCCTTGTAGCATTTGGTATTAATTTCATTTTTTTTTTAAAAAAACCCCTATATTCTATGTTTTGTGTACAAGATGGACTCGCCAAAGAAACATGCAAGAAACAAACTGAATGAATGCCTAACCAAAATGTTCATTATGACTTTGCAAACCAACTCTGACTTCCGTATCTTGCTGCATTCATGAACAAAACAGTTTAGGGCTAAAGTGAGGTTCAGTTTTCTGTGCTTCAGCAGACTGGGGGAACCCCTGTTAGTATGTGGGATGAACCAAGCCATCATGTCAAACCACCATTTGCTTTATAGCTTTGAGCAAAGCAGATATAATGGGCTGCAAAAGTAACCTTGAGGAACAGAAGGAAGATCCGCAGCCAAGACAATGGTCAGTTAAGAGAAATCTGAGTCCAGTGCAGAACGGTAATCTGAGAAACCTCCCAGACAAGACCCTCCTTAGTTCTCATGAAGATAAAGGGAGGGAGGGGGAAACTGTATTCAGACTTATAAGATTCTGTTACTATAACCTTATAATAAAAGTAGTAGCATTCATAACTTTGGTTTCCCAGTCTGGTCTACCTGAAGGGCTGACAGCAGGTTATGGGAACATCCCCATGGTGTTACCCTCCCCCAGCTTTAAGCAAGGTGAGTGAGGCCAGCCTATCACTCTCTCTTTCTCACCTGGATCCCCGCAGGAATGTTGTACACAATGCGGATGGTTTTGCAATCTGGATAGCCAGGAAGAGAATGTGGGATAATGTGGAATTCCATCTTTCCAGGGGGCTGAGTCCCCGTCTTCTCCCCATAGATGGCCTTGCAAGTGGGGCATTGGAGGCTCCCATCCTGAGAGGCAGAAGACAGCAAGGAGGTGGGGAGGAGATATAGGACAGCAGTCTTGGTGGGGCTTACGAAATGGCAATGAATTCATTGGCTGCTGTTTTTCATTTATGTATTCATTTGTTTGTTTGTTTAAATGCATTGGCCGCCCAACTCCCAAGTTGTTTTTTTATAGTAATTTTATTAAAAATTACGATTAAAAAAATACAAACTAATACAAACTAAAAAAAAAGAAAAGAAAAAAGAAAAAATAGAAAGTGCAGAAAAGGAAAAGAAAAAAATAGAAAGAAAAATAGAAAAGAAAGAAAAAGTAAGCACACCGCAAAGAAAAAGAAAATTAAGGGACTTTTGCTGATCAGGACTGAAAGGATGAGGCTTTAAGGATTTGTTTATAGATAAGAGATGGGTTATGGGAAGAAGAGATCTTATGTTGTATTTTAAGAAAGGTGAAAAGTTACTAAAATTGTTTATATTTGTTGTGATATAGGGAGAAGTCATTTCTTTATATATTTCTTTGTATTTTTCTTTTTCTTTTTTTTTCCCGAGTTGTTTTCATTATAAAACATCTTGGGCTCAACTGTGTTTTTCACTGGGGGGGGGGAATCTAGGCTCTCACCCCCAAAGCGATCATGTTCCCCAGATTCCCCCACCTGCCCACTTGGATCCAGGCTCACCTTATTCCCATTGTTGTACATGGCAACTAGACAGAGGAGGTGGTACATGTGCCCGCATTTCCCCAGCTTCCCTACCAGCTCCGGCTTGGCACCCTTGTGCCTGAGGATGCCCTCGTAACCCGAGGAAGACACCAATCTCTCCATGCAAATGGTGCAGTCCTGTTGGTGAGAGACAAGTATGGGCTGTGAGCAATAACTACAAGGAGGGAGCGGGGGGTGGGGTTGTGTTCCGGGAAGCAGCAAAACACTGTGAATAAATTAAAAAGAGAGATCGTTGCTGGGAGAGTGAGTGCCAAGGATGAGCCAGAAGAAAAAATATCTTTACAGGTAGTCCTTGACTTATGACCATTCATTTAACAACTGTTCGAAGTTATGACAGTGCTGAAAAAAGTGACTTACGACCGGTCCTCACACTTACGACCATTGCAGCATCCCCGTGGTTACGTGATCAAAATTTGGGCCCTTGGCAACCGGGATGTATTTACGATGGTTGCAGCATCCTGTGGTCATGTGATCACCATTTGCAACCTTCCCAGGGAGCTTCTGACAAGCAAAGTCAATGGGGGAAGCCAGATTCACTTAACAACCACAGCAAAAAAGGTCGTAAAATCAGGCACAGCACTTAACGACCGCATTGCTTAGCAACGGAAGTTCTGGTCCCAATTGCGGTCATAAATTGAGGACTACCTGTAGATCCAAGCCACCTTTGGATGGGAGAGGTTGTTACTGGCTTATCAAAGCTTTTTAAAGCATCATGCAGTCAGTCCAGGAAAAAGGGATTCTAAAGCTTCAAAAGCACCCCACCTTTGTGAACTCATTAATAAGGAGGATTAGAAGGTTCCTATCTCAGTCCTCAAGAATCTGCTCTCTAATCCCAAATTCCTGGCATCAAAACTAATTCAAGAACATCCCTGGGAATCCGGCATCTTTGATCATCCTCTGCTCCTAAGGGCTGATGGATACAAAAGGGCCTTAGGGGTTGCTTGTGAAGAACAGGCTGGTTGATGCCTCTATCAAAGCAAGGTATTGTTTTATTTATTAGGATTGGGCCAAGCGTGCCTCCCAAGCTCTCACTCAGAGCATCGAAGCAGCTGCATCTGTTAAAGTCACCTTGGCAGCCATCGTGGCCAACTTCTCTGGGTCTGTGCTCAGAGAATCGGGAAAAGGCAGCGGAGCATCCCTTTGGAGGCCTGAAAATCAGGTTTGGAGGGGCACATGGACCACATTGCACAACGCTGCCAAAAAGATTTGCACAACCCTATGATTTCCTGGTGGCATTTGCCTCTTGAGAACTCCAGGTGGCTCAGATGAGGGTCTCTGCTAGGTTAACTCCCCCAACAACAACCCTGTGAGGGGGGTGGGTTTGAGAAAGGGGTGGCTGAGGGTGGACCTGAATTTGGGTTTCCCAGGTGCCAGTCCAACCTCTTAACCAGCGGACTTTATTGTTTGAAAATGCTCAAATGAAATACATGTTCAGTAATACATGGGATGCTGAAATGTATCCAACAGAAGAGAAGATTGGTAGCTCAGGGTTGAACTGTGGAGTCCTTGGTGCTCTCTGAGCTTGGTTGCTGGCTTGCAGACATTTCATTACCCAACTAAGTAACATCATCAGTGCAAGGGAGTGTGGGGTCACACTGATGAAGTTACCTAGTTGGGTAACGAAACGTGTGCAAGCAGCCAAGCTCAGAGAGCACCAGGGACTCCACTGAAATGTATCTCAAACTATTTCATAACATTTCATAACATTTCATAACATTTCATCACCTTAGTGCAAATATGGGCGCTTTCCTGTTGCTGAAAATTAGACCCCCAAGACCTCACATCTAGCAGCTCTTGGCTTCAAGGCATTTGCTTCTATTTTTGATCCTTATTTCATCTTTCCCACCTCCTCATTCAAGGCCCTTGAGACTCCAGGATCTCTCCCCTTTTCTCGCCACAACAGCTCTGCAAAGTAGACTAGGTTGAGACGGAGTGGGCAATTCACTCATGCCTGGGAGGGCCTCACGTCCTGGACATTTTAAACCTTTCACCACACCGGTGGGTCAGAAAGTGGAACTCACCTCATCAGGGGGGTTCTTCACCTTCTGGATATAACGTCGCACCACATCCTCAGGGTTTCTGCCTGGAGGGAAGAGAAGAGTGCTATAAAGGGGCATTGTCAGCCCTTTGAGGTAGGCCAAGTTAGGAAACAGACAGTGCTAGGTTCACAGAAATGCTACTTTATTGCTGTAGGGTATAATAACAGAAATTTGAATGCCTGCCAAATTTTCCCTCTGCCCCCTCTTATTCCAAAAAGAATCAATGTGGGGTTATTTTGAGTCTTCTTCTCACACTCCATCCTGTCCCAAGACTGAATGATTGTCTAATGATTCTTCCATCAACACTTGCATACCTGTGTCAAGGCTATCTCTGCACACCTATCTCTTTTTTTCCTTTATAATATTTCTGGGATAAGAAAGACACACCCTTCCGAGCATCGTAGAATGGATGAGTCAAAAGGGATCACAGAGAGCATCTAGTCCAACCCCTGCAGGAATCCACTCAACCATTTCTGACAGGCAGACATCCAGTCTTGGTTTGAAAACCTCCAGCAAGGAAAACTCTGACATTGTCCTAGACTCTGTTACGCTGATGCAGAGTTCTTACTCTCGGAAAATTCCTTCTAATCTTCAGCTTGCACTTCCATCCTCTTCAACCTGCTAGTCCTTGCCCAACAGAGTTGGCCTCCCTTGCACATTTTAGACACTGGCACTCTACTATTTTATCTCCAGTTTTCTCTTTTGCAGGCAAAAAATGCCCGGTTCCTTGAATTGTTCCTCTTGGTTTCCAGGCCTCTTGACCTCCTCAAGATCTCTTCTGAATCCTCTCCAGTTTTTCCTTGTCCCTCTGAGGGTAGGATAGTCACAGATGCTCACAATGATGCAAGAGAGCCAATCTGGTGTCGTGGTTCAGGCAGCAGGCTAGAAACCAGGAGATCGTGAGCTCTAGTCCTGCCTTGGGCACAAAGCCAGCTGGGTGGCCTTGGGCCAGTCCTTCTGTCTCAGTCCTAGGAAGAAGAAGGCCAGGGCAAACCCCTTCTGAAATCTTGCCAAGAAAACTGCAGGGGCTTACCCAGGTGGTTGCCAGGAATCAACACTGAGTCAAAGGCGTGCATGCAGACACACACACACACACACACACACACAGATGCAAATTGTCTTCTTAGACACTGTGGCTGCTGCTGTGTTAGTCCACTGCTCCAGTCCCCATGGAAGCCATTTTACACCTCCCCATTCCAACCCACACCAAACTATTCCATTAAAAAAGTCTGGTCCTCCATTCACTGCTCAGAGTGCACTGTTGATTGTCTATGGCAGTGTTTCTCAACCTTGGCCACTGGAAGATGGGTGGACGTCAACTCCCAGGATTCCCCAGCCAGCCAT